GATTCCCCCAACGCTATTCCCCTCTCCCAACTCCCGAATAAAATGTTTAAAAAAAAAAGCAAAGGCAAATAACATAAAATTTTTGATAACAGTATGGATTTAAATTTGCAAGTTTTTTCACACAATTTAAGATTAGGTTTGTAAGATGATAGAAGTAAAAACATGTTGTATTTCTTATCTTTCCCAGGTACAAGTGCATTTTAAATCTGGATATTGATGGAGAAACAAAAGTATAATTATGTTTTCTAAAAGTAAGTTTATAACCTTTATTTAATTAAAAATTTGAAAGGAGTAAAAACATCAATTAATAGCAACATACAGAAACATTTAAAGAGAAAATATCAAGGAAGTGTTTAATACAGAAAACAAAATAAGATGATAGCAAATAAAACCTAGTATCATATCAGAAATGATAACAAACAGAAACCCATACTCTCCTACTAAATATTGACAAATACTCTCAGATAAATTTAAAAACTAAATGCACTACATTCTATATACAAGAGACAAAAACTAAATTAAACTGATAGGCTGAAAATAAAATGATGGACAAAAATTTTGGATGCAAATGTTAAATCTCAAAACATTAAAAGTTGTAATATTAATATCAAAGTTGAATTCAAACCAAATATATTAACTGTGACCAAGACATTTTATACTGATAGAAGGTAGACCCTAGATGACACTAACAAGGCCATGTTGAACAGGGGTGGGATCTGCATTGAGGGCGGGTCCTATCTTTCCCAATGGACAGTTATTTTTCTGTACAGATACTGGGGGGAATCATGTGGCCATACTCAAAGCACTAAGGGCTATGAGGTGATTCTTTGGTCTTCCTGCTCTCACTCTGGGGACTTTACTATTCTCCCCAAACTATTTGCAACACAAAAAGCTACATTCCTAAATTCTAGTGTAATCTCAGGTTGAAGAGACCACAGTCAGGCTTTAGATCTGATTTCAACCTGAGTTAGCTCTTTAGGATTCTCTCTTGGGGTTTGGAGAGGAAGAACCA